GGTTGTAATGATTCAACCCGGGTGACCCACCCACCCGCGGGTGACCCGGGTGATACCCACCCGGGTCAAAACACTAATTGTAATTCGCTTGTGGGATAGTTTATTGTGTATGTATTACTCGAGATCATGACTCGAAACTTTCTTATAATTATATATATATAGCAATATATGTATATGCTACTTTAATTGTTCTATCATCTAATAATAAGTATAATAATTATTATATTCTTCTAATATGTTGATGCATATAAAATCTTGAGATAAACTCATGTAAAAGAACCATCCATTTAAATGCAAAAATTTATTTATATATTTATTCACGTTATTTTACTTATTATTTAATCATACAGTACTATACGTTAATAACTTTTGTTTTTGTGTCGAGATATGGTTATATGCTAGCAGATTTAAGATAATTAAGATATATGTTCAAGTCCACTATGAACCAACCTTTATGATTATCTATTACAGTATTAAATAAAATAACATTAATAAGGTTATTAAGTGTGATGAGCTTGAATAGATTACATTGCAGCATTATGTTTAAATAAATTTATACATGTAATAAATTCTACGAAAACTATTTATAAAATTTATGATTTAATTTATCCAATTTCAACAATTAAATCATTTATTATTTGATAGTAATCCAAGTTAATACAATTATACTTTTGCAAATCCTCTTTACTTGCCATACAAAGACTACGTGTTTCTGCTATTTTAACATGCAACTCTTGAAAGAACCAACACATGAGATTATTAAAGTTTACTTTATTATGTGGAAGAAAGAGCCAATCTGCAAAATTCTTCCGTTTTGCTTCACTCCATTTCATCCATTTTCTGTTCCCTTCTTCTCCCCAACTAACATCAGTATTATCTGCGCGCAGATGACATGGTGTTGGATCTAAGACATTTGTATATTGGTGATTTGTTCCCCGAAGGCCTGACGGTTGATGACATGAATGGTGCTTTTTTGTATCATCTGTGTTTTCCTCGTGTCCACGTGGTCCCCAGCAGATAGCACCACAAAACGTGCACGATTTTGTACAGCCAAGCTTTTCCATTATAATTTCATATTCAGACGGTGCTTTAAATTTCACTAAATCCGATTCATACTTTTCTCGTTGGTCTTTTAAAGTTGCCAACATACTATCACGAAAAGCATCGACGTCTGATTCATTTGTTTCTTCTGATTCTTTATACATTTTATATTTACATCCTTCAACATGATCCAAATAACTTTCAACGAAATTTTGAAAACTTTCGATAGATTTATAATTATTAACTTTGGAAATAATGTCACTGAATTCTTGTTCAAATACTCTATGATATTCTTTCTTAGAAATTTCAGGGTGGCAATTGTCGACTTCATTTTTAAACCATTCAGTTATTTTGACATCTGGAAAATCAAAATGTATAAGAGCATTATAATATTCATGTTTTTGAACTTGTTCAGCTAATTGTTTAAAATATTTAAGCCTTGCGTGTTCAGTACTATTCATCCAACTAATTTTAAGTATTTCATGAATTCTTTTCTCATTACCACCATTCACTGCTTTATTTCTTATTGCTTCAAGTAGATATTGTGCGACGATCTTCCCCTCGGAAGCGTATGAAAAGCCATGTTGAAGTCTGTGATTAATTAACTTTCTATAATCATATTCTCTTCGTTCAAGTATTTTAAGTGGATTATATCTTTTATCCCAATTACGTTGAGCTCTTTGCATTCTCTTATAGAAATTTACCAAGGCATATAAATGAATATCATATTTATTTTGATTAAGCCAT